GCTCTCAACCAGTACAGGATGTGTCACCTTTCTGCATTGGTTCTATTTCTTGGAGTAGATTTTTCCTTGCCTGTTTGCTGGATGACCCCTGAGGCCATGCCACCGCTGGGAATATGTGCAAGTACAGTCCCCTTTGAACTGAATTGGTGCTGAGATGCCAAAAATGACTAAACAGTAGACAGGAAACAGGGACACCTGCTGCTACTGCACAGCGTTGTCCTGGCAACCCATACCCTGGCAGCAGGAGTCCTCAGTCTCCAGAGCATGTCATACATCTGCAAAAGTTGCAAGCTGTTAGAGCTCAGGAAATGCTCTCTAAGGAGCTATTCCTTCTTCCCATCTGCAGGTAGAACTGTCTTTGGTTGTGAGTGACAATGCACAGAGAGCTCCCTATTTGCAAGATTGCCATGCTGGATGCCAGCAGTGCCTGCTTGCACAGGAGGCAAGAAATACCCCCTTTACCTATCCCCTCTGCCTCCCTGTGAAATGCAGAGCACCTCTCCAGAGGTGGAACCCAAGGAGTTTTTGTGGTCTCTGGACTCTTCACAATTACAGGAAGCCTATGCCTTAAAGGTTGAATGAAATGTAAATTCATTCGCTTCCAATGTGATGCTTTTCTAAAAACAAGAATGATCGTGAGCAAACTCAGGAGCTAGAATTCAAAAAGTATATACTAGGGAACTTTATCATAGCTGGATAGTTGAAATACTTTATAATTTCATTACTGCATCTTCTAATTGAGGGGTTGGCTTCTTTTAGGTCTAGTTTTCCAGAATGCCTAATACTTGATATGTGGAGAATACCCAGTATATTTAAATCCAAGGCAGTTACACTCAGTGCAAATCTGCTGAGAAAAGACCATTGCAGAGATAACCCTTTAGAGCCACTGAGATGCCTTTACACCAAAGTGCTGATTGCAGAGATGGGTTCAGATGGACTGAGCAGACCTCTGGAATTAAAGCAATGGCTTTTAGGAACTTTGGCTGCATGTGCTACCCATGAAACATCACCCTACGGTTGTGATAATTTCAGCTGTCATAAGTAATTATCTTTTCATTCTGTGAGCCAGCTTCTCTTCCCATATAAAATAAGGCACAGGTTTGCCCTTAAAGTTGACTTCTAAGTTTGCCAGCCTATCATCTGAAGTGCCAGTTTAACCATTACATGGGAATGGATTGTACTGTGATAATTTTCAACCTGAGATGCCTGGGCTTGTGTGAACTTAGAAGTGACTGGAGAGTGCAAGCTGGTGTGAAGTATGCAGCAGTCTGAGTGTAGGAGGTTTCTGAAATAGCTGTACCTCACCAGAAATTCTTTAAGGGGGAGTCCAGTGTGGGAAAGAAATTGACCACCTCTGGGCTGAGGCAATAGAGTTCATGCAGATCATAGAACTTTTATTGTAGCTACTCAAAAGCCATAAAATTGTAGTAAATGCCTTTTCCTGGGGAAAATTAATAATAATAATAATAATAATAATAATAAAAAAGATGGGTCTTCGTGAACTGCTTTTGTGTTTCTTCTATGATACACTTCCCTGAGATAATTTTCTGATTCACTATCTGTACTTTCAGCATGGAAAAACTGCACTAGCTGTGGCATCAAGGAGTAATCATGCCCTGATTGTAGATATGATCATTAAAGCAGAAAGGTATTACACCATGACACAGGTAAGAGGCATCTTTCATTACATTGAAGATAGCGATAAAAGAAAGCCAAGTCTGATTTTGAAGTGTCTTTTGCTTGAGGTGGTTCCTCTTGGCAGGCTGAAAGATACAGGCTTAATTCCTGACTAGCTGTTAAAAGTGTAGGCAGACCTTCACATTTTCCTGTATCATGTTCTACACAGAGAGACAAAGGGGTGGAGGGAGATTCTAAATCAAATTCAACCTGTGCCATCAGCATTGGAGCTGGGATAAGCTGGATCCATGCTGACCCCTGCATCCTTTGGTACAGTATAATCTGTGGTTGAAAAATGGTGGAGTGTAGATGTCTGTCCCTCTTTTGTTACCAAGGGCTCAGCTGCTTTGGCAGGAACTCCCTTATCCGTTCTTTTTGTGTTAATTATAAAATTAAATTGGTGAAATGGAAAAGAATATAGCAACAAGTGAAGGACACAGTTTAGATTGTCTGAATTTCTTACCTTCTTTCCCTAGGTGTTACTTAAATGTGGGCTGCATAGTGCTGGGCCTCCCTAAAGGGCTAAAAGTAATTGCCATACCAATTTGTGACTTCATTCTCACTCCTGCTTCCTGCCAGGCAGTGTTTTTTTCACTAAGTCAGCCAAGCGTATAAGCATATTGGTCCCATCCCAGTGCAGACACAGAATTATCTGGTTTTACCACCCCACTCCTGCCCTGTGTGGCCAAATCAATGACACTTAATGTTACAGGGCTCGTAAATCACGGATGTAGATTAATTATCATGAAAAGTGCCTCCCCAGCACCCTGTATCGTGCATATTTGATTGGCACCAGTTCAGCTGGAGTTGTCAGCTATGTTATTGTTTCTTTTGGCTTAAAAGAGAATTAGAAATGAAGTCAGCCGTTGCCACAGAAGACATGAGAAGTCTGAAAGTAGTAATGCTCCTAACCTCTTGGCATTGTGTACTGAATTGCCTGAAGAGAAAATAAAAGGCAGTTAAGCAGATGGTTTTCTACAAGAGCACCAGAGATGTTTGGAAATACAAACATAAATGTTTTTATCCCATTGCCTGAAGCTGAGAGCACAGCCTTTGGGAGCACCTTAGATCTTAGAGCTGTGGAATTTGATGTTCAGGTGGTGTTACCACACAGGAAACTACATTTGGAACCATTATTTTAAGAACTGTCTTTTTGTTATACTGAGCTGACTTATCATCTATGACAAAGCATTAGTTACAAAAGAAAATGTCATGTAGCTGTGAGGAAGGGCATGTGATACTAATGTGTGAGTGTCATCTCTCTGTTTGACCTTTTTTCCATTTACTGTTTCTACCCAACCCTTCCCTATCATTGTCCAGGCTGGATTTGAGAGCTGCTGTTACTGTCCCATCTTGCTATTGCTTGAAAACAGAATTAGCAGCAAAGAGAAGCTGTGCTGCTGCAAACAGTTTTTTATTAGTTGCATCAGATGAATGGAATTAAATATGCATGATAATGCTTAGTTACTGAACTGAGACTGTTTTTTTATTTAAGACTCTCATGAGGTACAGGAAACAATCCTGTTGTATTTTTCTGAATTTAATTTGGAATGATGCACTTTATGCTTAGCACTTTTTAATGTGGCATGCTTTCATTTCCTGTTTTGCTTAGTATCTGCTTTGTAATCCTCTATCAAATCCTGAAGACGTTTTTTCCTTTGGAAATTGATTTGAGAAAGGACTAATACATAAACAAAATGAAATACAGAAGTAGTTTGATCTTACCTACCTAGGAATGAGACGGTTCCTTGGGTACCGCTCAGTTAGAGCTAAAATCGCTGACTGACATAGTTTTTGCAAAGGTGCCCAAACAAGAAGCAACCCCATCACTCCTGTTTCAGGTGAGCTACACATACAGTAGCAACATCACTTTTAATCTGGAGGGTGAAATCCATTTGGTTTTGGTTTCTATCTGGCAACGAAACCAGATTCAGGTTCAAAATGTGTTTGTGTTTAGACATTGCTGTTTAGATACTTTGCTGAATGGGGTTCTGCATGCTGAAGCCAATGGCTCATGCTGCCAGCAAAGGATCTGCAAGTCCCCACTTCAGCCATGTGAAGCTGAAGGGCAGAGGCAGGAACAGCTTGAGCAAGTGTCTCATTAAGGGTGGGTGCCTACTCTCAAAGGAAGGTCAGTGCTTTGAGAAGCAAGGGGAAAGAGAAAGAACTGTGTCTGAAACTCAAACATGTTCAAAATGTGACATAAAGTAGATTCAAGGAGCACAGTAGTGCTGGCACAGTATTTGCTGTTACTTTGGTTTTATGTATCAAATACCAGGGAAAGAAAGTGGCTTATTTTGCAGTTCATTTCGTAAGGCATAGCAGCCGACAAGGGAGGACTTTGTTTGTTTCTATAAGCCGTACATGGTTTCTTTACAGGCACTGAGCAAATCACCTGTCAGTAGCTACACCTGGCTGTAGGACACTGTTCACTACTCACTAAGCAAAGGTTCCCAGCTCTGTTACAAAATTTATCACCTGCTTTCTTTTTCAGACACATCCAGCTCATAATGATGATGGCTCATACTTCAGCGTGTCCTTCAAACAAGATCACAGTACACAGACCAAGCAAATCCGTTCCTCCCTTTGGAATCTAGCATACAACCAGTTAAAACCCCGTGAATGGAAAAAATTGGCCATATTCTGGAAGTTCACAGATGAACAAATTAAAGCCATTGAAGAACAGTGGACAGGTAATAAAATCTGAATGGCCAGACATAATATGTAGGCTAAAAAACTCCACAATGCAGTGTTGCTTTTTAAACTATGTAAGTAGTAGTAGAAGGGATAAAAGCCTTGTCCCTAGATCCTAGGAAGCAGTGCTGTAGAAGTACAGACCACTTCTGCTCTGCCTCTTGGCCTGAAAAAACCTTCCTGTTTGGAGATCAAAACCAGAAGCAGTGAGCAGTATGGAAGGGTCATGCAGGTCATCCTGCAAACGAGGACCTGGGAAACCTCACAACACAGAAAGACCGTGTTCATGCTCTGTCTGCACGGCTGCCGTGAAACAGTAGTTTCTGGTTTCAGGCATCTCAAGTGCTGGTAAAACAATACTTTTACAACACATATTATGCTTGTTGATTGTAACTCTAGGGTATTTCCACATCTTGGGCAAAAATGAAAGGAAAAATTTATTTTAAGATGTATTAGGGTTTTTTTCTCTCTTAACAGTAGTGTTAGGATAAAACTAGATTTTTTAAAAAACTTTTGTAAGCCTCAATCTTCATTTTTCTTCTAGGTGAGAAGGGAAATAATTGAGCATGTTTTAAAACCTTTTGCAACTCTAAAAGTGCCAAAACACAAAATACACTATTTCCAGCATATTGAAAAAGTACTTTGTGTATTGCATAGGGAAAAAAAGTTACAAGGAACATGGAAACAGAATGTTGCTCATCTGGTTACACGGCATGCTGCTGGCTCATCAGAATCCTGTCAAACGTCTATATGAAGATCTGGTGGCAGCAGGATTTCAGCCTTTAGCTGGTAAGTTGACACAGAGCACATTACACGGCCCTCCGGGAGACTGCAGTGTGGTGCCGACATCTCCGCTGGTGCTAGGATGGTGTGACTGTGGCAGGGCTGGAGGACATTCTTCCTCTCTGGGACTCTGCCCTTGCTGCAGGGTTAGGCTGCTTGAGAGAAAGCGTTTAAGTGAGACTTGAGATTTCTAAAGAAAGGCAAAAATGAGCAAACTTTCCTTCCCTCCTTTGTCTTGCACACATAGTTGAATTGTAACTGGCCCCCCTTCAGTTAGATTAGTTTGACCTTGTAAGAAGCAGAGCATGCCAAGCAAGTGTTTTCTTTTACTTTACAGAGAAGATCAGAGCTTCAATTAGTGCTGGCATGGACTCCAGAAAATGTGCGGTTTCATGAGTTCATCAGTAAAACATGGCATATATGGTGGAATTACATGTCAGATGGAAAATGACTTTCAAATAATATCTTTTCTGGAAAAAAAAAACCTTCTTTTTTGGAGCTGTACAACTTTTTCTAAGCTAGAAGAACTTGCACTCTTGAAATGTAGGTAACTTCTTTCTCAAATGCTTGCTATACAACAATTAAGGAATTTAAGAGTGAATGGCTGACTGGTAATTTATGACTATACTGCTAAGCAAGAGCCACCCCTTGCAATTTCTACACCTCACTTAACATTGATGCCCTAATTCAATACTGCAATTTAAGCTATTTTATGTTCGACGTGAAATGTAAGTAAGATGTTTTCTACCTGAAAAATTAAATTAAATAAGTAAAAATTATTTGTATAAATAAACCAACACTTCCAGAAATAGGCTGGCACTTGACCTCATTTGGGATTCAGCTTTTCATAAAGTCTTCCTCGGATTATGACAAGTCATTCTTCTTCAGCATTTGAATTATATAGTGAAAATACACAAAAATATCATGTCTAAACCCACGTGTGCTGGCTACAGAATTTTCTATCACACTGTATACATACTCCAAAAAGAACATTTGATATTTAATACTTAACACATCTAAAAATTATTTACCTGTTCATATCTTAAGTTAATACTTGGTAGTGTCTTGCTGAACATATTTAAAGGTTCTCTCATTTAATATATTGCATATCTGAAAAATTATGTAAAATGTGTATCTTCTCTATAATAACATAGCAATATTTTTATCATGTAATGGAAGAACTGAATCCTCTTTTCTGTTTGCATATAATTTGCATGGTTTTGGACTGAAACCTACTGCTTGTACTAAAAAGATAATCTGTATCTTTGTGTGAAATCTTACACCAAACTGCCCTATTGTGTGCATCTTCTTTTGACGTGGCTGTGAAGCATCACAGGAATATGAAGAACAGAGTGGTAAATCCTCAGATTATGCAATGCATCAAGTTCTGCAACATTAGCTTGGAAAATGAGAATGTTTAAGAATTTGCTGGACTCAGTACCTCACCTGGCCCAACCTGCACCCTGGTATGTGAAGGATACCACCCTGTTGTTCTTCATCTAAGTACACTAAGATGTAGGATATAATTAAGGTGCATATCAACTATACTTACTTGCATAAGCAACTAAAAGCATTTGTAACAAAAATAAATTTAATTTTCTTTTGAATACAGATGTTAGTATCATTGGAACTAAACAAAGAGATTCAGACAAAAATCAAGTTGTATCCTTTATTTAAAAGTGTGCAAAAGATTCCTTAAATAGAAAGGATATATCTTAATAAAATAAGTTCTCAAGTAGTTTGGAGGTAAAGCAACAGTTCAAGTTTTTTTTCCCCTCCAGATGTTTACTACAAAAGCACTTTTACATTAAAAAAAAACACCCTTTTTTTAGCAAAGGGTAAAAACATGATATGTCTTTTAGGCCCTATTACATCAAATCTGAAAAGACTGGGAGGAGGTACCTTGACAAAAACCCCCACTGGTGATAAAGATATTCACTCAGTCAACAACTTTTATTGACTGAACACTGCTATGGGTCTGGCCCTGAAGCATTCGCCCAGCTTGTCCTGCAGGTCTCGCAGCAGTAGAACCAGAAGAATGGAGCACAGTTCGAGGATATTTGGCAGCAGTGGCTTGCGATACAGTTTGCTGAAAAGTAATCAGATACATCAAAACACTTAATGGTACAAAAAAAATCCCATTAAATTAGCCCCAGCTGAGCTGTAGTTTAAACAAAGATTTGCAATCCAGCAAATTGAAATACACTTACCAAAATAGAAAAAAAAAGGGTTACTTTAACAGAATGAGTAATTTTTTTCCTTTCTTATCTGTAATACAGTTTTTAGAATGCCAAGTGCTAAACTTCTAACTAGCTATCGTGAGCTTTTATCATCTCTATCTTATTTCAAGGTTGGTTCTTTTTTTTTTTTTTTACCAAACTGTTTAGAATTTTTCTGTGTAGTGCTAATTTAATCATGCCAGTTTTCCTTTTGAAGCTTATTATTTGCTATGAGGAAGTCTCTGAAAGGTCTCTGAAATTTTCAGGAAATTTTTGCAATTTTATCAACAATCAATTTTCTGCACAAAAAACTAGCCACCTTCATGTAATAAACAGTAGTCATTCTACTTTTAATCAATCTCTCCCTTCTCAGATTAACTCAAGAGAAATACTTCAATCTGTCTTCCACTTAGGCATTTATTTTCAGAAAGAGTACACAGAATATACCTTGAGGTGGGGCTGTCAACATTTATTACATTTTCAGAAATCAGTTTTCGATACAGTATTTAGGTACATTACTTGCCCCACTAGTCACATACTCTGAACCCAGAAATTGTTCTTAATGAAATAATTATCACACTGAGCCTCTAATCCCCTAAGGACATACAATTTAATTATGAATTTCTGCTTAGGAGGCCAATTTCTAGAAAGCTGCATGCAGCCTGCCATAGGGCTCTGAGTCACTGCAGGAAATGCGGGAAAGCAGAACATCCCTCACACAGCTACCAGTAACTCCAGCCAGATTAAGGGATATGAAGTAGCTCTGCTTGCTCTGGTTATATCACTGAAAAGAAACTGGACTTTCAGATAACACAGAGAAAACTCAGTTCCTATTTTAGAGGTTAAAATATAACAAAAATTATCTTCAATCATTCCCTATACCTCCAGGTAAAAGCATTTTTTGCTCAGGTTGGTCTATATGTGTGGTGATTGCCTAGGCCATTTGGGTCACTTGTATAGTGCTCTTGTATATTGCTTCTATATACTCTATGAACGCAATATTTATCCTTCAGGATAAATACAGGGAATAGGTTAAAAAAATACAACAAGCAGCAGACTTGACTAATTTGATTGCCTCTGGACAAGGGTTTTACTTTTTCCCCCTTGCCATTTGCTGTGCTCAGCGTGTCAGGTGAGTCTATACCTCTACCACCTCTGCTTCAGTCACTCCTCCTGCTCTGTACCATAACTCGTCTTTAAACTGTGGTGGTATGGTGAGGACACCAAACCTTGCTGGATCAACTGAGTACTTCTTATGGAAGAGGTGGCTAAGAAAGAGAAACGAGACTACTATACCCGTGAAATAATTACTACAGAAACAAGATAAATATATTAAAGTGGCAGTCTCCTCAGCAGAGCCTTCTTCCCAGCCCAAAGACAGCAAGTACTGTTTGCTATTTTAAACAGGACTCAACTCTGAGTTTTGTCTAATACCTCTTCACAATATAATTTTTCTTTATACTATTACCAAATGTATTGTAAGAGGAATACTGTAACAAGGAGAATTCTGACTTACCTGAGTGACTGGATGATGTTTCTCAACAATGACTGAACTCATGGGTGGAGCAACTCCCATCACTGCTAAACTCCCAGAAGTTCTGGATTTTTGTCCCATATCAGCTCTGCCTGTGATACGAGCAGTGATTGTTCTTCCTGCTTTCTGTTGAGCAGATGTTATCACTTTTGCCATGGGCTATAAGTAAATTAAATACTAGTTGGTAAAAAATGCTGAACACAATATTTACAGTGCTCTAATATTTTTGCTTAGTTTTATCTGCCAGGTGCCTAAACAGGTAGTCCACTTATATGACAACTTGCTCCACCTAGTTGCAACCATCTTTTTCCATGCTAAGTATGAGATAGCATTTCAGGCAAGTGACTTCTGTCCTGAGGGAGCAAGGCTAATTTGACAAAAATCAAGCAGCATGGATAGCTTTGTTTTGCTCACTGACTGCATACTCAAATGACAGCTGAAGGCACTTCACTGTGGAAAGCCTGTCTAGCAAGGACAGAGCAGATACAAAAAACTTCCACGCATATAACGCTGCGTCTCTCTCTGACAGCTGATAGCAAACTGTGTCGCATGGGGAAAAGAAAGGAGAGCAGTTAGTACAGAAAATGGAATGAGAAAACATTTCAAACAGCAGGATAATGAAGCAAAGCATACTCTTTCCATAACAAAAGGGTATCAAGTCAAACACCAGTTGCATTATATGTAAGTGTACATGCATTCTTCTGTTCCTTATTTTGCTACACTTCTGCCTTCTCACCTCCAAAATTAATTTAAAACTGCTCTTAGCATACATGGGTTTATGTAACATTAATGAGCATTTGCAAGCTAGTGTCTTCACACAGCTATTTAAACTCTTCAGCAGTGTCCTCAACTACATACCTGTGTTGCTCTGAAAAATGCAGAAATGACAAAATCCAAACCAATATTTGTTATAACTAGGTCTTAAAATAGAAAAAAAAAAGTTAATTTTAGCTTGTTACCAGTTTCTGAGTTGATGTCACACCAGATCCTGTTGCTGTGCTAGTGATGATTACTGGAGAATCAGAATCTAGCCTGGTCTGAGAAGTGCTTGCATGACTAAAGTGGCTAGAAAACTGTGAATAAAACCAGAGTTTACAAAGAATGAGTATAACTTCCTAGAAAATAAAATTTTACTCTTTAGAAAGTCAGCTTTTTTACTATTCTAATTACCCTTCTAATTTTAATGTCTTTGCAGGTATTTTATCTTTTTAGTTACTGTTTATTGGCTAATTTAAAATCACTTGTCTAAAAATCGTAGAAATGGTGTGAATAGCATTTGTCACTATTAGAACAATAAATCAGGAGAGAGGCACACACATCTTTTAACCTACATTTCAGCATAATTTGGTTTTACAGTGGCAATGTTTTCAGGATGACTCCAGGGCAGGTCAAGAACAACCAAGCTACTGGATAATGATCTTGCTAAACTGACATGACAGGACAATATACTGAGTTCCTTCTGTGCCTATATGTGTTAGACCCCTAAAAAAGAAGCCTTAAGTCAAGCCAGTTTTTCTTCTTTTCAGAGTATATTATATTTAGGTGTTTTAAAGAAGAAATAGGTTTTTTACATAAAGAACCTTGGAGAGCTAATTCTGCTTATTATAATGACCTTGTCTTCGTTAGTGTAATGCATTATCACTAAAATAAAAAACAAAGCTTAATGAAAGTACAAGTCACGGCAGCTGTGCTCCAGTCACTTCACTTTTACAGTTCAATCTGAACACACCTACAGATTTCCTTTTACACTTTGACTTTCTTAAAAAAGCTCCAAGCAAGGAAGTTCAGTTTCATTTCTAGCAAATACAGTTCTGTTCCAGGAACACGCTTACCATGCCTTCCAGCTGAAGAGTAGTTGCCGGTGGAGGTGGTGGTGAGGGTGGATTATACTGTGAAGGAGGTAGCCTTCCTGCAACAGTGGTACCATTATCATTTCTCCTACTTCCTATATCTATTATTAGAAACACAAAGTAATGGGATCAGCAGATAATCTAGCAAATCATAAGGGGGGAGAAAGGGGAAGATAAGTTACTGTAAAAATGTTAGTATTTCTTTGGGATTTCTGTATAATCTAATGAAAAGGATCAGTCTGTTCTTTATAGGTATATACATATCAAACAAACATTCCTGTATTTTACCTGTCTTTCGAGGAGCTTGGAAATGTTTTTCAAGGGGCTTGTTTCTGTGTTATGTCTCGACATCTCTGTGGCATTTGCCACATATTTCTAGTGCAAAGAACTGAGATTTTTCATACTGCTTGACAACACTAAATCCAGCATGCAAGAGCTGCTCTTATGTGAAGGGCCAAAATCCAGTTTAGGTGGAGAACAGCAAAACATAGAAAGGTCATATTGGACTTTCATGAGGGTGCAAGATCTCTAAAGGGGCTTATTGGTAGTAAAATAAAATGCTACTTTAACTTTCCTGATAACAGCGCAATTTCAAGAACCCATAGCTCACACTCACAGTGTCTTATCCCCACATATAGACATCCTGGCTGTAGGGCTGGGATGATCTACAGGCACCCCACAGCCCTCATGTCCCCTCAGCAGGCTAGGCTGGGTGAGCCTGAGCTTGTGCAAAATCCATCCAGGATTCTTTTGTCTTGTAATGCAGACATCCTGGGGATGCCAGATCTGCAGACATAAGCCCAGTACCTTTTCCAAGCCTTTTCAGCCTTTTCCTTTTAGAATACAAACTTTCTTAAAGAAAGGAGAGAGAGGTGTTCTTATTTACTCTCCTATTTTTGAAGCAGCTGATGCTAGCAGGAGTTCCAGGACAGTGGAACTTTGCTCATTCCAGGGACTAGAGTGACACCATGTGGTAGTAGTGGTGTTTGGTTTTCTACTATTCTTTGAAGTAAGCAGGAAAAATAAAAGGAAGGTGCGTCAAGTCAGTGCACTGTTGATAGATTTCAAGAGTGAAAGAATGTCAGAATATGCATTTTGGACATATCTATGTATGAACACACACATTAAGCTTAAGCATAGACAGGACCAATGCACAGTTAAAGAACAATCAGATCTGATCTATGTTATTTTAAAAAAGTGTTACGGTTTTTATAAGCAAAAAGTCATGAGTTCCTGTTATTTCAATGTTCCTTTAAATAAAGAAGTTAAAAATAATCTTAATATAATACTACTAACAAAAAAAGGTCAGAAAATGTGTGAGATAACTTTTACACCATCAACACTGACACTAAATGTTATAGACCCATTAAGGTTGCAATACTTGCACACTATTAATAACCTACGTTACAATGTACAGGATGTGTGTGTTATCTGTATATTGTATGTATATTAAACATACATTATATTAACCTAATCATAAATCTGTAAAGGGATGAAATTTTGTTTTTATTTCCAATGAGAGTAGGTGGCACTGCAGTGTTCATATAAATTTATGACTGATTGTAACACATGGAAGTTTTGATGTCCAGAGATTACAAGACTAGAACAATTCACAATAATCATCTACTCTGACATTTGAAGTCCCTGATATCCTGATTACAGTTCTGTTATAACTGATGAAGACTGGAAATCAACAGGTGTACAACTTTATAAATAATTATGTAACTAATTTCATTAAAATCACCATCTGGCAGTAGCAAGAAAGATACAGTGTGCCTGTGGCAGGGGAGAAGGTGGTATGAGAGGTGGTGGACTGCTTGGGACCAAGGACAACAGTCTGGCAGATGTTACGAAGTCTGATTAAAAAGCATAATGCTGGACACACAAAAAATTAGTTACGGGTACCATAACATCCAACACAGCAAAATCTCTACATATTGTGCTGGTGCAGAGTATCAGTTCCAGCTTCATAGTAAAAATCAAGGCACATCTTTGGTCCATGAAACTCAGGAGTTGATCATGGCTGCTCTAGAACTCATTTTTCTTCATTTCTTTCCTACTTACCTTCTTCTTTACAGGACTACAGACACAGTGCTTTTGTTTCACACCACCCATCATTACTAGTGATGTTGTCTGTTGCATGTTTTTTGAAAACAGTAAACAAACAAATAAAAGCTAAAGCTTCAATACAGAGTAGTTTTTAATTAATAACACAGTGAATAATAAGGTGTCTAGGAAATGCCCTATAATTTTACTCCCAGACTCAGTATATTCAAAAAATCCTTTGTTCTTGACCCTCTCCAAATACTGATCCTATGTTTTTATAGCACACAGCTACTATATTAGCTAGTGTTATATGAATTTCTAAGCAGTTGCACAAATATCACTTATGTTTAACAGGCTTAGATAGCCCCTCAGGTAAGTATCCTCCTATACCTTCTTCAGGTTTTAATTTTCTCTTCATATCTACATTTTTTGGTGAAGAATTTCTCTAATGTATTTCAGAAACTTCTGTATAAGATTGTTAAATTTACCAGCTGAAGCTACTTGTCAAAGGACATTAACCACTGCTGTCAGTACAGGTGGCTGTTGAGCCACACATGCAGCTATGACTCTCCCACTGGCATAGCTATTTTCTCTTTAACATAGATTGCTGCACCAGCACAATCATGTTCCCACTGCTACAGACTGTCTCTGAGGGGGTGATTTCATTACATAAGTAAGTGTGCACAGCTCTTTCCTGTGTAGCTGCATGGGTTTTACAGGTATGCTGCTGATATAATTAGACTGGTGTTTCCTGTTCTGGCACAGAATTACAACTAAATCCAAAACCTGAGAGATTTGCTTGCCCTTTTTACATTCAAAAGCAAGACTAAGAAAGAAGGGAGAGCTGCCTGGAAAAGTTGATTCCTTGCACACTGAGATTCCAGAGCATAAAGGTATTTTCAGGATTTCCCCTTCAATCCCCTGTAACCTGGTATTTTAAGAAGTTTCCCACCCTTGGCTTCTTGTTCTGCCTTCAGCTGCAGATTATCACTCTCCCAGCAACGTGTGATGAAGAGAACACATTCTTCCTTTCAGCTATAGCAGTGCAAAGTTCAGTGTCAGGATTTCTCAGTATATTCAACAGGACTTTCTAAAGCAATAGAAACTTAATAAACTTTGTGTTGCTACAAGTTACCAAATTAAAACAAAAAAGCAAAAAGGAACTCTGTAAAAACAAACAAAAAATCCCAAACAAACCCAATGAAAATGCACATGCACTACCAGATTAGAGCTGCTGTTCATACTAACCAGGATCTGGTCTACTGTCCTTGCCCTGAAACATGGTCATTGCTTCCAGATTCAAAGCACATACACCACGCATAAAGGCTTTCTTCATGGTGTCTTCATACTGATCCCTTTCACTGTGCAGTCGCAGAATCTCAGCTTTTGTCCGTTCCAAATTAGCAGTTAGCTACAAAACAGAATAAGGAAACACTTCTCTTGGACTTCTGAATGCAAACTACAAACATAATAATCAATTTGCTTTAAAAGTCACTTACTATATTTACAAAGATACGTACTTGAAGTTCACAATCTCTGGTTCACCAGAGATAAACAGCTAGTAGTACAATTGTAGTACAATTTCTTTGTACTACAGCACAATATTAGTGCTAGAGCATGTCAAGGACAAGAAGACTGTCAGACCCTACCTAACCAACTAAGCAGAAATGTATCTTGCAAGCTTTCGTCTTCTACAAGTTAGGCATCTGGCATAACATAGAGTTCTGCAGGAACATGGGTTCACTCAAAAGAAGAGTAAGTGCTCTCAGACAATTATTTAAGCATTGGGTGAACTGTCATCACCATTCTTTAGATACTGTAAAAAACTAAAAATGCTGAGAAAAGAACAAATCAAGTTCCTTTTGTAATTCACTACTTACTTTTGTGCTGGTAAGTCACATTCGGTAAGCCTGTTTCTAAAGTTCTAGGTTTAATTTCTTGTTGAAATACAATGCTCTTAAAACTTATATTTTAAAACTGTTTACTTACCATGCACAGGTTGACAACTTGACCTTAAGCTCTGAAAATTCTTTAACAAAGTTAATTGGCACATTGAAGGTCAATTTCATCCTTTAGCAGAATAGCTATTATAGAAAAAATACTGTACTCATCAAGGTCATTCAGAATAATAATGCTCTTCTTCATTAAAACCTCATAATGCATAGCCAATATTACCAGGATGCTGTTAGAAAACAAATGGCATTCCTATTGGTGGGCAAACAGATTCATCTCATTTCAGGAAAATCCAATGTATTTCATCTGTGCATGCAGATCAGCAACATTTTATAGCAGATGCAGGGAAAAAGTCACGTCTAAAAACATAACAGATCTTATATCCACTCAGATGTTCTTGTATAGCTGGGAGGTCTGTTCTGCTAGAAAATCCTTACGTTTGTCAAGTTTGCTGAGAAAGAGGTACTTTGGAGGGATGGGAATTGGGAGCAAAGGAGCAAAAGAATGAAAAAAAATTTGAATTCACCTCTGCAATTTTGGCTTCATAATCATTGGTGAGTTGAACACAGACATCTTCTGCCCTCAACTGACAAGCTCTTGCTACTTTATCTTTCCACTTTTCTTCACTAAGAGAGCGCCACGCTGCCCACACTTTCTTCATCAAAGTTGTCCGAAATTGTTTGTCTGCTATTCTATTTGCATATTCCTTAGGAAACAAACATAACCACATTGTGTGGAAGTTGAGGTTTGCTAAAAATTTAAGTGTGGATGATTGTTTTATAATTTATTACAATTTATTATTAATTTATTTACATAGACCACAGTAGGAACACCTCAGCTGAGTAAAAGGTCCTGCAGCAAAGCAGCATTCAAACAGCATCAGCAAAGCTCCATGTTATTCTTCCGGCACATGTCATGGAGCATTACTGTCCCCACTATAATGTGTATTTGTTAACCCCTAAGTTACACAAAACACTGGTTTTACTTGTTTAATGACACTCAAGCAATAACCTCACATATATGGCACAAACACGCATGTGTGAAGCTATTTAGTGGGTATGTGGCACATTTGGATTTACTACAGAAATCATATAAAAATCAAAAAAGTCTCCAAGATCGCAGATGACTAGCATGAAACACGTATCTTTTAAATGAATTTAGACTTCAGGATAGTTTAAAAATTCCTTTAAAACAATTCTATTATTCTACTCTGTTTCAAAGTAGTCATCAAAAAATGGCTTGGTTTTTTTCCCATTCAAGAGAGCATTCTGACAGCAGTTTCTTTGTAAAATTGGTGTTTTCAAACTGTTGTTTGACATTGTTAAACACATCACAATAGAAACACCATTATTTCTTCAAACTGTAACAGGAACTGCAGCAGCTCTGACCCTTTTGTGTTGCATTTTTATTTTGTGCACATACCTCTTGACTTGCTTTAACATGCTGAATCCGCCACAGCGTAAACTTTCTCATCAACTCTACTCTCTCCTTTTCCTTTTCTATTGCTTGGGTCAAGTTAGTAATTACCTGAAAAAATATTTGTTAACACTATTTCAACACAGCCATGATCTATTCAAATAGAATGCACTTTATGCTTCAGTTATTTTTCACTTAAAGCACTTGCTTGTAACAGATGCTTTCTACTGAATCTTCCCCTTACTCTAATGAAGTAGGAAACTGAAATCAGTAGTAAAATTCCAATGGCTTCAACACTCAGACTGCAGCACTTTCACTGTGTAGTTTTAGGAAAAGTTCAATTGAATTGTTATTTTCTCCTACATCTGCAGGTTTCTGAGCTACTTTCTAATAATTAAACATTACTGTAGCATAATTTCAGAAGCATTTTTTATTTCAAAGACAATTTTGATAAATCAGAAACATTTATATTAGAAGTTCGTTTCAGTGATTACTTAACTGAAGTGTAAAGAAACAACTTATTTGCAGAAAGCTCATTCAACTGTACGACCAAAATAAACTAGCTAAGTAGTTGCTAAGAACTATTTTGTTTCAGGATAGAAATTCATACAAACTGTTTCAATCCATCTTCAGAATGTTTCATGAAATACTGCCAAGAAAAAACTTAGTTTCTTTAAGGTGTTCAAAATGTCAAAATAAAACCAAATAAAAGTCAATTTGATACATTTTAAATAATTTAAAGATAAATTTTAAGAATGAGATCTTTATCATACTGTATGTTAACCCTGTATAAGCTACTTTTCTCTGCTTAAATAAAGCTAACTTCTCAGTTTCAGAATGCCTGAACAGTCTCAGCTACCTAAGTAACAATGAAATGATCTAAAATTAGAAGTACACTTGCATAAATTGGCAACAAATCAATGAGAAAACAGAAAGCAAATTAAATGAATCTATGCAATTAATTAATTTTGTTGAAAAAGTGTCATATACTAACATAAAACATCAACTTTCGATGCTGCACGCATGCTGATACACACTAGAAGTCTTAGCCTAAATCCATTTTCATTAATCAGTACGTTTTTGCCAATAAAAGCATTTGTGAGATTTACAATGTGAAAACAGGAATCTACAGTACTCTTAATTTGTGAGGCTTATGATTTTGGGTTAAGTCCATGTCCTAATACAGGAGTTTTGATAGTCATGGTGTGATACATGGAAGCATGGAAGCACTTCAACCTTCTATTCAGGTGGTAGCAATAGTAATTTTCTATTCATACCATTTTTTTAGAAACAGAACTATAAAAACGGCCAAAGAAAAATGTCTTTGGTAACAGAAAAGACATACAGCTTTCAAAGTATCCTTGGGAATTATGTCACATTAAATATGAGTGACATACAACGATAACCAACAGAATTAGAAGTCTGAATGATATATGCTGAAATAAGTATGCACAGATGCACTAGTTAAACTGTATTACAATGTTCTTGTATTGTTACAACATTTATATTTGTTTGGTCTGTAAGATTAGACTGTTTTCCAAAGGGACACAGAATATGATCTTCATCCATATTTTAATTCCTGCAATGTATGTTTTTTTAAAAAAAGGTGAATAGGAATTAAAACCCAAACTTCATTAAGTGTTCCCAAGAACAAGGTTAGAAATTCATGGTAGCAATAAGAGGATTTAATTATGTTATGTGATTGCAAGACTGCCAAGATTTCATATTCATTTCCACAAAACTAGTTAATATTGAAGTTGTTTACATTGTTGACAGCAGGAAAGTGTAAATCACAGACCCCAAATGTACAATCTTAAGAATATGTACAAATTTCTAAGAATCCTAAAACAGAGATCCTTTAACACTTCGGAGACTGCTATGCATTTGAAATTCAAGAAAACCAATCTAATAATTGAAAAACTAGAGGCTTTTGAAGTGTAAGAGCTAATAGACTCATCCAAGCCTGTGTGATCTTCATGAAATAAAGAAGGAACAAGAGTAGACCCTAGATTTAAGAAGTAAACAATGCAAAGTATGTACACACAAAGTGTTGAGTTTTCATTGCTAGTGTGGATGACCCTATTAGCAACAATGATTGGTTTTCTACCATACAGTCTAAATACATGACGTTCTGCCTCAAGAAAAATTTTGTTCAAACAGATGTACCAAAAAATTCAGTGTGGATATTTTTAAACAGAGAGGAACTGTTAAAATGTGAAACTGAATTACTACCTCATCTTTCCTAGCAATAGAAATTTCATAAGTATGTAGTAACTCCTTCAGGTTTTCCATCTCATTGCACAGTTGTTTCACATGTGCAGCATATTTCTCTTTTTCTTGTTTCATTTGAAGCTTGTGATGTTGAATCAAACTAAGTTTCCAATTTCTCAATTCTGTCAGAATGTTTGTCTGAAAAGTTAAAAAGATGACAGTAATGCAGTCAGTTAAACTATTCCCTCCTTCCTAATATTTTAATCTTAAAACACTTAGCAATTTAGGAGAAATGAACATTTACAGTGACGCCTTCATTACACAGGATATTTATAGCTATAAATATTACCAGACACAATGAACTACTGAATAATATCTGAACACCTCTAATAGAGACAGGTGTTCCAAAGTTTTTGAAATAAGATATTCTACTCTTTATATGCAATATACACTATCAACAAAAAAGAAAAACACCATTCGCCAGTGCAATCACACTGCAACTTTTTAGGCACTCACTTATTCTACAACACAGTTATATCTGTGATATCTATAATTCCGTACAAAATAAATACCTTAAGACTGCCAGTCCAGAGATCAAGTATATTTTCTATTTGATTGAGCTTTTCATCTTGTAAAGTTAATTCAGTCATTATGGTTTCACTGACTTCTCTTGGACCATGTGTGGACCCTTGTGAAGAAGTCGCTTCTGAAAGAATACCTTGTTCCATATTGGCCTCAAAACTCTGCCTCACTGATGTTAAGACTAAAAATGAAACAGAGAATAAGGATGACACTCTGGAAAGGCTAACTGGCCCACATTTTGGATGGAAGTCAGAAGTCAGGCATTGATAACAAAGAAAAAAGATATTTATGGCATCAGAAAGCTCCTTCCCTCACATGAGACACTGCCCAATTCAAATACATATTTCTAAGACACAAGGATATTTAAAAACCCACAATTCTATTTCAACATTAGGCAAAATGTACTGCTACCCTAAAAACCAGTATCTTAATGTCATTTAATTTTAAAAAGGACGATCACAGCAAGAACTAAAAATACACTATTGCCAGAACCAACATCTCTAAGTAAAGGCTTCTTGACTATTAACATCTCAGGTCAAAAATCTAAAATCTTTTGCCTTTTTCCTTAATGAGACTGTAAACTCCTGAACTCGGTGGTGTTACTTGGAGCATTCACAAAGCAGCCTGTGGCTATATTTCCATGTTGATATTTACCTGCATCCATTTTCCCTAAAGTCTTAAATTTGTTTGTCTAACTAGAGTTTAGACTATTTGAGAAAAGAAATATCTACTGTGAATTTACATAATGCCTTAAACAATAAGCCTTCACTTTCAGGTGCTGTGGCTAACTACCACTGCAATAAAGGTTAATCCATGTCCAAAAGCTAATAGACATGTGTTTGAGCTAAGAATAAAGAACTTAATATTCAAGTAAACTGAAGAAATAAAGTATTGTTTTGTCTCTAGTTATTTCTGATAGAAAATTTGCTATTTGAGTTGACAACTGAATAAAAAAAATTGGAAACAAGAGGGATTAGCAGCTTCCTGTCATTAATAAACTTCAAAAGAATACTCTCCTTTTCTTCATAAACTGAAAGGAAACCTCCAACATTTTAGTGTTCACTTCTGAAAACAAATGTCTGTACAACTGGTTTCTTAGTGGACGAATACGATATTTTGGTACAAGCTTGAAGAGATAAGCTTATCTGTTTGCCAAAAAGCAGTATCTTCAGTGGACATTGGAAATGTATGTTTCTAATTTATTCAAGGTAGAGCCTGATGGTTGATACTCTTTTGCAGTTACTGTTGCTGTCTGGTCTCCTGTGCAAAGAAAGTCGGAAGAGCTGTCTGGCTCATAACTTCTCACCACACAGCTACTACACTCACGCTCCAAAACAAGCAGGAAATAAAGAAGAATCATGATGCAGAGGCAGTTATAACTGTTTTTTGATGCTTCTGTCAAGCTAATACATAACCAGACATCATAAAATTAAAATCAGCTTGAGCTGAAGAAGTCTCATCTAGCACATTGTTTATACAGACTAAATGTCCTACCCAATATCAATAAATAGATGACCAAAACCAGATTGTTCCTCATCACACAGCATATTAAGATTGGGCTTCAGATTTTTGTCCTTCTTTCTTACATAAATGAGAGAACTATTGCTTAGTTAATGGCAGAATTTGAATACTCATTGCTTGTTAGAATCTCTAAAATGAGGGACATGTCAGAAATGCATCTAATTTCTATGATGGAAAATCTGGCTGGCATTTGACAATATAAATTATCTGACATTACCACTGTTAAATATTCCAAGTTCTGTCCTTCACCACTTGTTCCCATTCCTGCATGTCACTATGTTTTTCCTTCAGTTGTGATGTGAAGTGCATGAAGGTTTGTTTTGATTTTTAAACTTTTACTATTTGGTTAGATTGCAAAGATATCCAACTTATACAGCACAGTTTGCAAGATACTTCCAAACAAACAAAACCAAAACAAAACAGAACAAAATGTAACCAATAAAAACAGGATAGTAAAATAGACTGACAATTGTCATAGTCTGAGATCATAATATTACAAGTCCATCACTCCCCTCCTCTTAGTCCTCCCTATGTACAGATTATCCTAACTCAGCTTTCATTTTTCTCATTTACCGCATCTGTTACATGTTTATATTATCATTTGATGCAACTTATCTTGGCTTTCCAGCATTGCCATAATTTTCTAGTTGTACATATATAAATTTATTTCTTATTTCTAATGCACTCCTTCTGTCACCACTATTCCTTCCACAGCATTGCATGTTACAGTGTGCTAAGGTATCAAGGAAATGAATCATCTGGATATGAAAAGTATAGAAATCTACCTTATTAAATAATTTCCACATGCATTTACTCCAACAAATATCTAGACTGTATTCTTGTTACAGTAGAGGTAATGAAATTACCTGTTTATCCAGATGCCTGTTATCCAAATACTACCTTTGGATTTTTTTCTGTGTTGCTCTAGTATCTGACCTGTTCTGCTTTTATAAAGTAAATAAGCTCTGACAGATGTTCTTACACAACATGCTATTAGTGGCCCAAACTGAGAGTAGCAATTTTCTAAAATGTTCTCAGAAGCGTAATGGATCCATACTGCGGACTGGAAGCCCAAATAGAAGGAATTTTTCCACTGTTCGAGTATGAGTCATCATTACATATCTCTACAACAAACAATTTGCTGCTCCAGTCTTAGTAATTTTCAAATTTAATCAACTAAACTGGTAACAAGAACAGGAAATTAAGATTTATGTTTTGAAGCTTAAAAGCATTTGGACATTGAATTGCATAGTACAGCATGTTTATTCCAATTACTCTCCTTATTTGGCTGGAAGCTTTTAGGGAAGATACCATGTATACCATGTATACCTAAGGTTCCTGAAATAGAGACCGCTGTTGGTCTCAATATCATCACAGAAGAAGGGGAAAAAAAATTGCAAACGTGAAAAACTAAGCAGAAAAGCAAACTTGCAAAAGTGCAAATGTACTATATATATGCTATATATATTTTTTAAACTGAAGCTATTGAAAAACCCAAGTCAGAAAGGTTGTATCATTGTTCCTTATGAGAACACATAGGGGTTTGGGCATACTACCTGGAGTCTTACTGTGACTGGCATCATTTGTTGCCCTTGCAGATCTGTCAGCTGGTCTCAGTTCTGAGGCAGGTTCTGTCCACTTTGATAAATCCTGTGCAAACTTTGGAGTCACTACAGTATAATGAAGTGGCTCTTCATATTCGTCCTGTTGCAACATGATGACAAATAATTATAAAACTACAATTACATTTCTAAAGCTGAGGTATATGAAAGGAGTGGAAATTACTTTCTATAATTTTTGAGAGGTAAAAAATTAAGAGGATCTCCCTTAAAGTTGCAAAAGTGAACTTTTGCTTTCCTACGATGATTGTAACAATTTAACTTCTTCTTGTTTCATATTCACATCCATTCTGATTACAACTAGATGCACCATAATAGTTACACAGAAAGACTTTGCCAGATGCCAGAACTGGATACTAAACAGGAATTTTAAATACAAACAAGAAGTAGAAAAAAAATCCAGTTTCAAATCATGTAAGCTATTAATCACCCTATATTATTTCTAATCACTCCTACTGCTGCAAAGAAAAACATGTATTTTTATAACCATGACAAAGATGTTACTGAACACAATCACACTTTACATTCTGTACCATTACAACTTCTTGTAAAGCAAATCATTGAAAGAAATTTGATAAACCACTATTTTGCTCTGAGTAGATATAATTATTCTCACCTTGTATTATGCATTTTTAAAATTGTATAGGGAATGTGCATATATAATTATTACAGAAACCCTCCTATTAAGAAGTTACAATCTAATATAACTGGTATGTGGCATTAGACTATGCACCAAAGTAAGCCAATTAACATTTTTTTAAAATCTCCTAATTAAACAGATTTTCAGAATAAAAGTATTAAGTGCTCATTGTAAAACTGTAAACTATATTACATCTTAATCCAGTACTTCATTAAAAAAGTTCCAGTAGAAGTTACATGCTGAAACCAATCAAAGCCGCTACTTAAAGATTTGGAAAACAATGCCAGTTGGAAAATACTAAACCAGACCATTATCAGTTATTTTTTCTTTACTTAGTACTATCATACTAATTCTGATTAGTATCCCCATGAGGTCAAACCTCAGAAATCAAGTGTGAATTGAAAAATTAATTTCTTCTTCAAGCTGGGGAAAGTCAGAGTGAAAACAATCAATGAAAGGTAACAATTACGTGCAATATGTTTTTGAATCTAATAACTGGAAAGGATAATACTTTAAAACTATGTGTAACCCTTACATTTGTGTGGGTTTTAACTAATTAGAGAATTTAAGAAGCTCAGTTTTGTACATTTCAGCTGAATTCTAGTTTCGATCTAAATGTCCATTTCCTATCTTCTAAACTATGATGTTAAAATTAAAGCCAAAATAAACGTCTATGAAGCTATATAATTACAAACAAATACATAATGTATTTTTTTTGATAAGCAAGAGTGTCACATTCTATGTAAAAGGTATACTCAGCTGCAATTTTTCTGTAGCCATATATTTCTGAATGAATACAGTTTAGATTTTATCAGGTGTCAAAAGAAGAAAACAGACAACTTCAGATTAGTTGTTCAACCAGGAACTACACGGATCTATAAAAAACTCCCTGCAGCAAAATTTATGCAGAATAAAAAAATCTTTACCTTAGCTAATCTGAATTAAATGATTGTGCAGAAGACACTGGATCACTCCTCTGTCTTCTCCAAAGAGGTCATGTGACCAAATTGCCCTAAACAAGTTACTTGTCAGAGCTGATCCTGCTGCTTCCATGATTACCTTATCCAGTTCAAGGGACACAGTAGATAAAATGTCAGGTGCAAGTTGTTGGCTCATTTTGATTCACCAAATTTAATCATTAGCACATAATCTGTCCTACTACAGGCATTCCTAGCACTCAAAATACACATATCAAATTATGGCAGGAATTTTCTTTCAAGTTCTAACACTCTTATTAAAACTCAAAGAATCCACCGCTTGGGAATACACGCCCTTACATGCCAACAGAAAGTGTCAATAGATACTATCCAGTAACAACTCTGGAAATAAATGTTTATAAGTTACAGTATTACAACACTGTTAAAATGAAGTTAAAAGGCAAATATCAAAGAAAACAAAGTATCCCAACTGTAACCAGAAACTTAGACATAAAAAAAATAATCCTGGAGACTGCAGCAAGAATATGTATGGAAACATTGAGCGATTAAGTGCATCACCTCAATCTTAAATACTCCATAACAAGGATGCTGCAACTGGAATGCAATATTGACCAATTAATTTCCAATAGAACTGTAATAAAATTAACAATATATATATTTTTTTTACTTACTAGCTTGGTTCTCCTTTAAACAAAACTTTAAAGCTGTTTTGTCAACTACCAAAAAAATTTGTTGTTGTGTAAAAGTAGAGGTTCATAGTTCTAGGGCCTGAAGGTTGGTGGAACCCTATTATAAGTAAATGGAAATTCTAGAAAACCGGTGGATTCTTCTTATAGCAAAAAGGTAATAATCTTGTCTCTATTTAAAAGCAAAACTGCCAAAAAGACTCAAACCAAACTAAACAAAATAGACCTTTCAGAGTTATCTAAAGAGAGTAGAATACTTCCCTGTCACCATTCCTATTGATCAGCTGTGATGCCAGTGTTGTTTTTCAACAGTAATAAACTCCTACAAGAGGCAGCTAAGAACTGTGGACCTGGAGAAAAGAAGGCTGAGGGGCAACCTCATTGCTCTCTATAGCTTCCTGAGCAGGACAAGTGGGGAGGGAGGTGCCCATCTCTTCTGCCTGGGATCCAGTGATAGGATGTGTGGGAATGGCTCAAAGTTGCATAGGGGATGATCAGACTGGACATTAGGAAGCATTTCTTTACTCTGAAAAAGTAGTCAAACACTGGAACAGGCTTCCTAGAGAGGTGGTCAATGTTCTGAGCCTGTCACTGTTTAAGGGGCATTTGGACAATGCCCTTAGTAACATGGTTTAACTTTTGGTCAGCCACGAAATGCTTAGGCAGTTGGGCTAAGGATCATTGTAGGTCACTTCCAACTGGAACTATTCTATTCTGTGTTAGACATGTTCTCATTAGCAAAACAGTCATTCATTAATATTAGTTTATCATTCTCTACAAGGTAGCCTTAGCACCTCCTTGATGATCAACCAGATCATAACAGAAAATTCTGGTTCTTTAAAATTTGTAGCACTATGCTTTTATCCTATTTTCTTACCACAAAAAGCATTGCAAATGCAGATGTATTACTATTGCTAAACAAAGATTAAGAAAACTTATCTATGAGACTTGACCAAAAATAGAGAAGTATAAGAATTGCAGAAATGAATTGCCTCTGAACAGGCATTTTAAAAAGTACAAGTCAATCCATATGGAAAAAAAAAGAAAGAAAAAAACCAGCTTAATTTAACAGTGTTTTTGCTGTACATGCTCATTCCACCAAGTGACAAATGTAGAGATGCACTTCTACAGGGCAAATAACAAACCCTGTTTTTGTCAAAACTATCCTGTTTTGGATTGAATTCTACCAAAGGTTGAAAAAACATCATCCACAACTTACACAGGAATAACCAATTATTATAGGATGAAAATCTGCTGCTTTCAAAAGAAGAGAACAAAGACTTTATCCAGTATCTTTGCATCCTCTCGAGAAAAACCTAAATTAAACTTTTGCTTCATCCCTCAAAAATAACAGCTTTCTATCCTACTGTGTCAGATTCCGGTTTCTTCAAAAGACTTAAGAACAAATACAAAATAACACCAGAAAAAAAAAAAAAAAGTAAGAAAACTGTACTGTTTTACTTGCAGCTACCAACCTCAAGTTTAGATAAGATTTTCCACATAAAATGAATTTCTTGTGAAATGCACAAAAGGGGAACCAACTGAAGATATTTTAGCATCACATTTTTGTGGGGTCTAATTTGTTTATTTTTCCTAATGTTTTAATTATTTTCCTGTATAGGTAAAACATAAAGATGCATGTTTAGTTAGATTTCCTCATAATTATCCTTTGTCAAATAAAATGTGAATCAAATAATATTGCCTCTTTCCTACCTGAAGATCTGAAGAAAGAGAACTGTCCGGAACAGAGTCTTTTGGTAAAACTGGGCTTGTGCTTTTCTCCTCATCTGATGACATTCTGCATAAAGTTAGTCTATAAAACAGTAGAAGCTGAACTTCATTTTTCAATTTCAGTATAAAAACATATATTCACCAACATTTTCCACAGAAATGGAGATTCTTCTGTAGAAACTGCATCAATACCCACTCTGTGGGCTAAACTGATTGCCTAGTCTCATTACACAATGCTAGGTAGGAAACTGCCTGATCCAGACCATACTCAAAATCATGGAAATACTTCCACTGACTTATAAACAAAACAAAAAAGGAAAGACCCCAAAGCAACAATGTCAGTTGTTACAGTTTCAGATACACTTCTGTGTCAATCCCTCATTCTAATTCACACTGTACTGTTTTCAAACTTATCAGCTTCTTCCAGTACAAAATTCCTACAACATAGGAATGCCTAAGCTACACTCTCCTATCCAGTGAACAACCTCAACCACAGCCCAAGATCAGACGATGCCCTAAATGCTCCGCTCAGTACACTGAAGCTGAATGGTCAACATCAGCCTACTGCCACTTTTTTGATCCCTCTGCCTTATGGGCCCAGGAAGAACAGATACAGAAGGACAAGTAATGCCTTAGGTTCAAGTAATCATTCCAGCAATTTCTAAGCAGGACACTGAGGCTTTCTTTGAACATTTGGGAAGTAGGCAATGTTGTAGAACTGATAAGAAAACTTGAAGACTTTGTGAAAGATATATGTATCTTTTCATCTACTACAGCCACAAAGAGGTCCTTGAGTGAAGAACTGAAGCTCTTGTGATAAGACTCAATAGAATAAGGGGGAAAAGGACTGTAAAGTACATGGGGAGGAAGATAAAAGAAATTAGAAAATGAGTACAAATGGAGTATAAAGAAAGGTGAATTTGCTAATGAACAAATAGCACAGTGATCAAATTGCCTGATGCACATGGAAGACACATTGAACACAGAGTTGTCAGAAGAGAGTAAGGACACCACTATAAATAACCACAAGAACTGACTGCTCATGTAATGTAGCAAACAACTTGGAAGGAAAATTTATTTTAAGAGAGACCTTTACCACTGTCAATTATAATATTCTTAGTTGTCTTTTAAACAGATGTGTTTTCTGACAGAAATATAATTTTTAAATTGCTAGTTACACAGTCATTAAATTGACAGGAATATCTCACTTCAACATTATCATCTTTTCTCAAAATATCAAATCCCCCACATTAACATTACAGCTCTGTCTATAGGAATACAGATGGCAATTAATTACCTTTTTGCTCTTTGAACTATTCTAGATACTGATTCTTCCTGCACCACAAAAGCTCTCTCTGCCACGGATATCTACACTTTTCAGAATGGCAAGCTTATTTCTGTGCTGATGATAGACATTTTAAAAATTATATAAAGACAATTTCAAATGCTGGTTTCCTACTGCCCAAAGTTCAGAAGACATTATTACAATCTCCCCCTTCCTGCTGAGCCCTAGAATATCAACCATGTATTTTAAGTACAAAATAGGAAGTCTAGTGAAGGTTTACTATATATTTTTTATTGCTGTATAATGGTGTGTAGATGAGAATAAATACTAGCTTCCTCACCTCTTCTGTTTTCATTGCCTCCTGCTCCGATAATTTTCTTCTTTCCTCTCCCACACACAAATTACCTTATCTGTACCTTTGTTTCGGCCTCTCTACATAATAAAATAGCTTCTTTAGCTGTTAAATTCTTTCAATACCAAAAAATACCTCCTCAGTAATCTTAAAAAATCAGCTGCAACTTCACATCCTTTCCCACATAGACAGCTTCTCGAATTGTGGATCCTAATTATTCTAAAAGCCACAGATGCATCCAATTATGGAGGGGTGTGCATGCATTAGGGAGGATCACAAAGGACCAACTATCTAGCACTTACAGGAACTAGATGTGTATTTGCAGTTAGAAATTATAAATACTGATATCTTCCCTTCTCAGTCCACTTCAAAAGAACTGAACTGTTGATTTTTCTGAGACACGGGAGGGCAAACGGAGTTCCACGTGAAGACAAGAGTTCCACGTGAAGACAAGAGTTCCACGTGAAGACAAGAGTTCCACGTGAAGACAAGAGTTCCACGTGAAGACAAGAGTTCCACGTGAAGACAAGAGTTCCACGTGAAGACAAGTCCAAAGAAGTGGAAGAGAAAGTTTTTTCCTGAAAACTTTGTTCAACAACATCAGACATTCTCCTGATTTCTGTTTTCAGTTTTCTAAGACCATGTCCCTTACACACAATCTAGTGAATCTGGTTCTCTACCTATCACTGAAACTACTCCATGATCTTCTAAAACTCAAAAGGTTCCTTCCTTCATCATAAGCAATGCTACCTCTCCCCTCCAGACCACCCTTCCCCTCAAATCTGTTAACTGAAACTTACCTGTTTGACATTGTCTTATACAAAAAGTCATTTGCTGTCACAAGTTCAGTATGTTTGCCTCCTCTTCCCCATCTCTCTTCTTTATAACCACAAACTAGCCCCCCACTATGTTTGTCCAGCTGGTCTCCACCTGACTGCCTTTGCTGACTTGAACGCAGCTTTAGATTCCACTAACAGTTTAATGCTTAGAGTTTGAGCTTTCCTCACATTTCTATGTTTTGCCTGGTTTACTGTTAATGTTTGAGCCTAGAGTCTGCATTTTGATTAGTGCAGCATTTCAGTGAAAATCCTAGTGCACCTAAAATTCCAGACAAAACAACAGGTTGCATTACTAGGATAAATTAAGAGAAATACAATTATTTTAACCCTGTGTTTACAGACACATCATTGCTACGTCATGCTACAATCATAGCATATCCTGAGCTGGAAAGGACCCACAGGGATCAAGTCCACATCCTGGCCCTGCACCCATAACCATACCATGTGCCTGGAACATTGTCGAAACACTTCTTGAAGTCTGTCAGGCGTGGTGCTGTGACCACTTCCCTGGGGAGCCTGTTCCAGTGACCAACCACCCTATGGAGATGAACTTGTCCTTGATATCCAACCTGAACCTCCCTTGACACAGATGCATGCCATTCCCTTGGTTCCTGTTACTGATCAGAGAGATCACTGCCTGCCCCTCTTCTTGCCCTCATGAGGAAAGTGTAGACTGCAATGAGGTCTCCCTTCAGTCTCCTCTTCTCCAGGCTGAATACCCCAAGTGACCTCAGCCACTCTTCATATGCCTTCCCATCTTTGTTGCCCTTCTTTGGATGCTCCATAATAGCTCAATATCTTTCTTATGTTGCAGTGCCCAAAACTGCCCACAATATTCAAGGCGAGGCCACCCCAGTGCAGAGCAAAGCAGGACAATCCCCTCCCTCAACCGGCTGGTGTTGCTTTGCCTGATGCCCCCCAGGACACAGTTGACCCTCCTGCTGCCAGGGCACTGCTGACTCAGATTCAACTTGCCATCAACCAGGACCCCCAGGTCCCTTTCCGTGGGGTTGCTCTCCAGCCTCTTATTTCCACATCTGTCTGTACATCCAGGGTTGCCCTGTCCCAGCTGGCCTCTCTGTCTTTGAAAAAAATCAACAGCTCCACCCAATTTGGTATTTTCAATACACTTGCTTAGCATCCCTTCCAGTGCTGTCTCCAAGTCATTTATGAAGATGTTGAAGAGCACAGGGCCTAAAATGGAGCCTGTGGAACTCCACCAGTGCCAGGTCATCAGTTGCTGACCCATCACACAACATGTTTATCCACCTGTGTCCTTGACATTTTGTCCCGAAGGATACTGTGAGAGGCAGTATCAAAAGCTTTACTGAAATCAAAAAAAGACTACATCAGCTGGCTTCCCTTGATCAAACAGGTGGGTTACCTTATCATAAAAGGAAATTATGTTTGCCTAGCAGGACCTTCTTCTCATGCTGGCTGTGACTAATGACTGCATCAGTGTTGAACAATGAAGCAAAGAAATCATTAAACATCTCTTCCTTGTCTATAGCCTTGTTTGTGAGGTGACAATCTTCATCCTGTAATAGGCTCACGTTATTTCTGGACTGCTTTTTACTACTGATGCCTTTTAAAAAACTGGGTTTTTTTGTCCCCCAGAGTACAGGCAAGCTTTACCTCTAATTGAGCTCTGGCCATATGAATTCTCTCTGTACAGTGGAGAGCTGCATCTCTGTATTTCTCTCACATCACCTGACTTTGCTTTCACTTTCTTTTTTTTCCACAGCTCCAGAAGAAGATCCCTGCTCAGCAAGCTGGCCTAAGAATAAGTTGTCTGCTTTAATCTCAGTGAATAAGCACTAAACCCTTCAAAATACCAGACAAGTTTCTAGAAGAGAAATCAAGGGATACTAAGACACCATCTCTGGGTCAAAAGGCTGATTTGCTAAGCTGCAAATATTATACTGTGAGACACAAGTAAGAGGAACATCCTCACACTTACCATGTTCTTCTAATCTTACCCAAGCATCTGTCAAAATATACTTCCGACTTCATTAAAGAAAGATTCCTGCTAACAGCAGTAGCTCCTTCCATATGCATACAACTCCAATGCTAAGATTGCCACTTTTAAGAAACTAGATGCAACTATAAAGATTTTGGTCTGACTCACCATGGTTGCTCTCCTTCTCAATTTTGAACTAATTAAGCTGTGCTCAGGTTTCTGCAATTCTGGCTTTGTTTTTAACTAAAGGTGATGCTTCCAAATAATTTAATGTTTCATGCAGATCAGAGGACTCAACACCTAGGAAAGAGAATCACAGGATGCATAAGGTTGGAAGGGACCACAGTAGGGCACCTGGTCCAACCTTCCTGCTCAAGCAGGATCATCCTAGAGAACATGGCAGAGAATTGCATCCAGATGGTTCTGGAATATCCCCAGTGAGGGGAACTCCAAAGCCACTCTGGGCATCTGTTCCAGCATGTGGTCACCTGCACAGTAAAAAAGTTCTTCCTCATATTCAGGTAAAACTTCTTGTGCATCAGTTTCTCCCCATTGCTTCTTGTCCTATTGCTCAGCACCATCAAGAAGAGCCTGGATCCATTCTCTTGGCACCTTCCCTTCAGATGCTTATAGACATTGATGAGGTCTCTCAGTCATCTCTTCTCCAGGCTCAATAGGCCCAGTTCCCTCAGCCCTTCCTCGCAAGAGAAATGCTTCAGTTCCTCTCATCATCTTTGTAGCCCTCTGCTGGACCTACTCCAGGAATTCTATGTCTCTTAGGTCCTGAGGAGCCCAGAACTGGACACTGCACTCCAGGTGAGGCCTTACCAGGGCTGAATAGAGGGGTAGAATCAGCTCCCTCGACTTGCTGACACTGCTCTTCCTAATGCACCCCAGGATACCACTGGCCTTCCTGGTCATAAGGCCTCACTGTTGGCTCATGGACAGCTTGCTGTCCACCAGGACCCCCACATTCTTCTCCACAGAGCTGCTTTCCAGCAGGTTGGCCCCTATCCTGTGCTGGTGCAGGGGATTATTCCTTCCCAGGTGCAGGACCTGCCCTTATCCTTGTTGAATTTCAGATAGTTCTTTTCTGCCCATCTCTCCAACCTGTCGAGGTCCTTCTGAAGGGCTGCACAGCCCTCTGGGGTATTGGCCACTCCCAGCTTTGTGTCATCAGTGAACTTGCTGAGGAGGCATCTGCCCCTTCATCGAAGTCATGGGTGAATAAGTTGAACAACCCTGGGTCCAATATTGAACCTTGGGGACACCACTAGGGACAGAACTATACCACCTGCTGGTAGAGGCAGGATATACCCTTTCCCCTTAGCTGCACCCCCCTCCAAAGCAGCGCTGCTCACGCTTTTAACTTCTCCCCGGAGCCCCTCTGCAGCCGCCTGCAGTCCCGCGACCGCCGCTGCCATGGCAGCCGGAACAACAGGGACACGGCGCTCTGGCAGCGGGGAGCACGATCGGACTGCGAGCATGAAATGTTCCCTCTCTTTGCTTTGCTTTTACAGGGCCTCTAAGGCCACCGGCCCAACCACCCGGGAGCAGGGGGGACCTGTCGGCCCCCTAGGGAAGCTCGGGCCGGGGCGCGGGCGGTGGGTAAAGCCGCCGGGCAGCAATACCAGTGCGGTGGAGCAGGAAGGCGCGGTGGCAGTGCCGCCCCCGGCCCCGCCGGGCACGAACGCGGGTGCCTCGGAGCAGGAAAGCGCGGCGGCAGTACCGGCACCGGTCCCCCTGTGCAGGGACGTGGGTGCCGTGCAGAAGGCAGGGCGACCCCGGCCCGGCCCCCCTCCCCGCTCACCTGCGGTCGCGTTGCCGCCCTCACGGCCGTTCAAACCGCCCGAGCGGAACAGGAACCACCGCACCCACGGGCTAGGCGGGCCCCGGCATCGCATCCCCCTATTGGCCGGTTCAGGCGGCGAACCGGCCAATCGGACCGTCCGCCCGGGCGCGGGGCGTTGCCGGCCCCTCCTCGGCTGTCCGTCCGAGGGCGGCTCGTGCCGCTCGCTGATTGGCGGCGGCGCTGGTGGGGGCGCGCGGGGCGGCCCCCGGGGGGCGGTGCCGGCGGGCGCCGAGCGGGTGGCGCCGGGCTCGGATCCTGGCGGGTCTTGGGTCCGGGTCCTTCGGTCCTCACGCTCCCTGCGCGCCCCGGCCCGCCCCGCGTGATGGCCGTGGGGGTGCCGGGAAGGGGACCGTGCCAGCTTAAAACCTTTGGCTTGTTTAAGGTAGGGAAGCCTGAGGCTCTCCGTGTCGGAGAGCAGCTGCTGGCGGGCGTTCCTGTGCAGAATGAAGATTAAAAAAAAAAAAAAAAATTAAAAGAATAATTCCTTAGTGGAACTCCTTCGTCCTCAACACGTCCACCTGTGCTAATAGTGAAGCTAGAAAACCTCCCCGAGGAGCAGTTTTAAGTAATTCGTGCGATAATGTCGCAAAGGGAGCTCTGCACTCGTGGTTTCCAGCATTTCTCTCCACTGCAAGCTTTCCACAAAACCTTGCACAGGCAGAAGAGCGGCATGTATTCGGGAGTTAAGTATTCGTCAGCCCTGTGACGCACACGCCCCCCGGGGCAAAGCTGCTGGCGCGGTCACAGTGAGGATGTTCTCCTGGCTGGCGTCTCAGGGATGGAATAGCCTGAAATCCAACACCAGGTTACAAAGATTTTGCTATCAGGCATCAAGGAGTGGAGAGTCTTTCCGTCTGCCAACTTTCTTTTATCCTGATACCATCCTAATCGATCTTTCTGTAATGCAAGCTGTGACATAGAAAATGGTGCAATATTATTTCAAAATAGTTTACTGAACTCTGGCTACAGCATACCATCGGGTATGCTAGTCCTGGTCAAGTTCCATAATATGTGATTGTACCTTATACTGCACCAACATTTTGCCTGATAACATGAGAAAGACAGCCTAGGCATAAAATATCCAGTCATGTACAAAACTGTAACTTATAATTTGACCTTTATACATGTTTACAGCAATATACGCATCTTGTGCTAAAATCTTTTGCCTCTGTGAAACATAGTTAAGCAAGTAAGGAAAATATCACAAAATTTCACCTCTCTTAGAGGCATTTATATTCTCCTCAAGTAAGCCTTTTTCCATAGTAAAAGCCTATTTCAACATTTGTTGAAGTTGGAACTTAGAGAATGTGGCAAGGGAGGGCTGTTTTTCCCTGTAGCATCCAGTAAAATCTGCATGATTTAGTGAGCAAAAACTCCAGCCTGAGGAATCACTTTTTATGCAGTCATTGTGTTTCATTAAGACCTAAAAATAAATTTCATTATGAGATTGGTTGAGGTTAGTTTCCAGAAAAGCATAATGGAAGGGTTGCATTTGCTGATGGATTTTAGTAAGCAAGAAGAAGTGTGTCGTTTCAGAGATACATATTTTCTTAATGTTTTGGTTTCATCTATCAGTGATGAGGTCTTCGGTCGCAATTAGGGTTAAACTTGGGGTAAAAAGGAACTGCATTTTGTAAGGTCTACAAGGACACTGGCCTCAGAGCATGTCCCCACACTGTTCCTTTTTTTGAGTGCTAAACTGAACCTGCTATCCAGCTGCAATCACATTTTGGTGACTAATGGCTATAACCAAAGCAAGGCATAGTTTATTTTCCCTTGCCACAGCCAGCTTTTCTTCAAGGTCATAGCTGAGGGAGGATTTTGTAATAAAACAAAGTATTCCTGGACAAAGGGGAGTAGAGTTTTTCCTGTACAGGAGGCAGAGTAGCATTTGTAGCATTTGTAGTCATGAAGTATGGCAAGATGTGTGATCACAGGACTTCCTCTACACACATCTGGTGTTTTAAGAGGCTGTATAGCTAAGAGTGAGGGGAGAACTCCTCCAAAGACCAGCTTTAGATCACCAAATCCAAATGAGCTCTACCAACCCTTCTAACTACTAAAAACCAGTTCTCCAAATTTACTTTTTTTTTTTTTTTTTTTTTTTGGTAATTGAAATAGGGTAAGAAAGTAGAACTACTGTTCTGAAATGCTTTTGAAATGCTTGTCAACATCTAACTTTTCAAAAAGGCTTTGTTGAAAAGTTTTATATTTCTCTGGTGCACGTTAGAAAAAGAGCACAAGTTTCTTCTCTAGACCCAATAATTTGTTAATCAAAATAGAGGGATGATATATGATTCTATCATTCTGTTCATATTAATTTGTATTGCACACTGCTGGTGAAAAATGTCATGAATCTTTCTGCATAAAATTGGTTTTTAAGTACATGACCACCATTGCTGCATAAAACATAGCCTTTAAATATGTGTTTAGCTTTCAGTCTTACATCTTTGGGAAAATGCAGACATTTGAAAATTGAAGGAGTCTGCCATGGGTACTCAAACCAGTCTTTGTGATGCAAACATCCACTGCTACTTTGTAATTAGATGGATAAAAAGCAAAGGAGATCAAATGGTACCAAGCTGATTCCTAGTATAAAAAGATAATTGTAGATAGAGAGCAATGAAATTACAATAATTACCCTGTTCCCACACTGGGGATTTTATGGAATGTCTGATAAAACCTTCCATTGAAACTTCCTGATTTTGAATTGTATTTAAGAAATACCATCCATCTTTCATGTTGGATTCTATTGTACGATAGAATGTACAATTATTTTCACAGAGGGAAGGAGATTTTTCTATGCCTTTATGACCACATATGTTCCTCTGCTGCTCTAGCCAAGCAAATGCCACAGCAGTGATTAAAGCCAGGAAAAGTATGGTTATCTGTGCAGACTGAGAATTAGTTTTGAAACTGTTATTGTCCTGTGCTTTTTTGAAGGAGGCAGGAGGTTGAACTTATTTAAGGGCATTAACACATCTAATGACAAAAGGTAATCTCTTTTTTCTTTGAAAGAGTTTTTGAGGAATTCAAAGTTCAAAGTAAATACCATCTAGTTTATATGAAACAATAATGAATTTCTAGTGTTTTCTGTAATTCTACAGGTTACTGAAACACCTTTTTAAAGTTTTCTGTTTCCCCTCTGTATCTATCATCATTACATGATGGAAATCCAAATGCTTTGTAATAATTTAAGTTTGTGTACTGGAGTGATTACTGTTTAACTCTACCATATGAACTATTGGACTCTTTGCTGTGTGAAGACAAGATCTGTCTCCTCTCATGTGTAGTGCTAGATGCTGCTCTGGCCTTGAGGTAGATCTGGGCCTAGTACATTGTGGTCTCATGGTCTCTTTTCTGCTCCATGGCTCCACATGTCTCAAAGAGAACTGTTGAATATCTGGAGGTAAAGAGCCAGGGAGAAGGCACTAAGCTGCACCTTTTGGGGCTCTGCATTCAAGGGACTGTCATATTATGGCTACTGACTTGTGCAGTGGGGCTGTTGTAATTGTGTGGTCCAGGGCCATTTCTTTCCCATCGTGTGAACTGATGCAGTACATATGGCTGATTGTCAGGCCACCCATTTCAAGTCTCACATTGAATTTTTTGTTCCATCTGCATTAAGAATTGTTTTTCAGAATACCACTACCTCATACACAAATGAAATCCTTATTTTAGGCCAAAAATAATGGCTAAAGACAGTGCATAAGGGCAATGTGACAGTGCAGTTCCACATATATTGGAAATTACTGGCATTCTTTTCTTGTGATAATGCTGATAGTAGAAACAAACTTATCCTGTGAATATTGAATATCTCAGTGTTAAAGGGCTATATCTTCTACCTAAAATCCCACTCTTCCCTTGAAAAAAGGTCCTCTTACTATGTTGAGTGTTATATTACGGATAGGGCATATATCAAGTATATATCCTTTTTCAGAAAAAAACCCAAACATGTAAATTGGAATTAGTATTGAGAGGTTGAAAATAGTCTGGAATCTAGTATTTGCCATGTCTGAAAATATATTTTCCTTTTTTATTTTTTTTCCCACAAATATATTAGCTTATAGCTTGACAGACACAAGACAATGTTCATGGCTAGGCTTCGCGAACGAAGATCTGAGAGGGGCTCCACCCACGCTTGATACAAGCGCGCTGATGGCTAAAAAGGCCAATGCGAGATAGACAAGTTCGGTTGCAGAAGGTACAGCAGAAAGACTCCCCAGGTGATATCGACGAGACGTGATTCTTTCTGTGTTGTCTTTTCTCCTCGAGAGTGATCCTGCGTGTGTTCTCAAAAGCAGCAGCGGCATTATAGATGGTGTGTCTCCAGACCTCCCGATTGGAGGCCAGGGTAGACCAATGGTGGTGATCAATATGGCCAAGGCTGAGGGATTGTTTCAGGCAATCCTTGTATCTCCTCTTTGGGGCTCCTCTCTTGCGGCAGCCAGTGGCAAGTTCCCCATAAAGCACGATCTTAGGGAGGCGGCAGTCCTGCATCCTGGAGATGTGCCCTGCCCAGCACAGCTGTGTTCTCAGCAGCATGGCCTCAATGCTCGTGGCTGCTGCCTGTTCAAGGACAGACGTGCTGGTCACATAATCTGTCTAGTGGATGTTTAGGATTGTATGAAGGCAGCGCTGATGGAAGTGCATGTAGCTTGACAGACACAAGACAGTGTTGATGAGCCTATAAATGCCATAGTGAATGTGTTCATATATACTTAAAACTTTCTCTTGTGGCACTGGAATTTTTTTCACTCAAGTAAGTGTTTTGGCATCAGTCAGTCAATCTGTCAATCTTTTCCACATTATTAACAGCCTCTTGTGGCAAAAGTTATGGAAAGATTTTTCATGAATTGCTAGGATGGTTTTTCTGCCAAAATGACTTATTGACATGTTAGATAAAGATTTTCAGCTACATGGGAAGAAATGCTTCTCTTACAGGTAACTATACATTCACTCATTTTTAAAGTTTCTATCTGTTTTCCAGTGGGATACCAAAATGGATTTGTCAGCAATTTTGCCAAAAAGCACTAGGAATATTTCTGTGGAAATGCTTCTTTTCCCCTGTTAAACTGTAGAGAACAGGTAAAACCTCTTCTCGTAAGATACCAAGAGATCAATG